TAAGGTTGACTTGGTGAGGTCAATGAGGCAGCCATTTTCATCCGCTCATATACTGGAAGTCTACAGGGGTTCCTTGAGCCAGTTTGTGGGTTATGATATAAACTTTTGTTTTTTTGTTATTTTTAAGTTTGGCATTTATTCTAATTGCCTTTCATTGACAAATCTAGGTAAAAAAACATAGGCACGAAAAATTGAGTCTGCATGGTGCTGGAAAATATCTCTTGAAAAGTGAGGCTTCCCGCATATTGCATCATCTTGTTATTGAGGATATTTTTGTGGAAGAAGTGAGGAAAAGTGATATTTATGGTTCTGTCTCATCCTTACTGAAGGTACTAAACCAATTGCTTCATTCGGTATACTAAATGGAAAAAAAAAAAAAAAAGTTTGTAAGATTATTATCTTCTTTCTTCTTTTGGTATTTCTTTTTATATAATCTTCTCTTGCCGCTTTTTATTTTCTAGTTACTATATTAAAACGTACATGATTTTACAATTTGTCCTCAGGTGAATGAATCCAAGGTTTGCAGTCTTTTAAATGGAGAGCAGCGAATTACATTAAGGTTAAGTATTTTCTTCCTCCTAGTAGTCATTGTTGGGCTGCAATTTGTATGACAAATTACAAGCCATAAGTGAATGCAGTAGTCGTATCTATGGTTCAAGTATTGGCATTGATGTGTCATCTACCTATCATACCCTTTTTACTCTTCTCCATTTTTTCTTTTTAAATCTGAAAGATTTCCTTAATAAAAGGAATTGCGAAAGGAGAGGATGACAAGGTGTCCTGATCCACTTGATAAACCATAGGAGATCAGGAGAAGGCTTTCTCAATTGGTTTTTCACTTCTAAAAGAAAAAAAAGTTAGCTCTTTAGCAGGAGTACTTACAGCCTATTTTCACTAAGTTTGGGAAAACAATTGAAGTATACGTACAAAAATCAAAAGAACAATTGAAGTATATGCAGATGCTGGATGGCTTCTGGCATAATGCCAGGATATATAAGTGATTTAAGACTGTTTTTTGCGCTCTGAACATTTGTAATACGTTGAATTTGGGAGTATACATGATAGTTTATTACATTAGTTAATTTGTCAAGCCATGCTCTTGGAGATTGCCGAAGACTTTAAGAAGTATTTTCTGAGTTTACAAACTTTGCCTCTACTTTCATGTGTTTCAATTCCAGTAAGTATCTCCATGTAGACTAATTACTGTCTCCGTTCAAGAATGCACTTGCTAATGTTAAGTTTGTGGAGGGATAAGTCTTCATTGAATAAGAAAGTGATTTATAGTAAGTTTAGTAAGAGAAAGCTATTTTTGGGATTAATCGGTTAGGGAAAAAAAGGGAGAATTTTCAAGTGCGCAAGGGGTCTTGGGCGGATGTTTTGAGTCTGACGCACTATAATACTTCCCTCTGGATAGTTTTCAACTTTAGTTTTTTATTTTTATAATTATTTGAAAAAACTGAAATCTCTTTTTTTTCTCTTCTTGAAAGGCTCATCTTGTTTAGTTCTCAGTTGTGCTTTGGATGTCATTCTCTTATACTTATATCCTCTAATAAGAGTTAATTTATTGGTTCTTTGATATAATCTTGCATCGTTTCATGATTTATATAATTTTACTGTAGCCATGCCATTGGTTTCAGCCTTGCAGTTAAGAAGATTAGGTGATGCTTCTACATTAGAAAAATATGTCACTTATATAACGATTTGATGTACTAGAAGCGTATGGCTTTCTTTGTATTATTAGAATTTGATATTCTCAGTTGTTTTATACATGTTAATTGATTTATTAAATCATTAGGCACAACAAACAACATTGCTTTTTTTTTTTTTTTTTTTTTTTTTTTTTTTTTGGTGAGTCAATAGCAATTTCTATTNCTGTAAATACATGTTTGCTACAGAATGAAAGGATACCATGTTTGCGAGGACACACCATAATGTGTTTGGCACACCTAATAGGTTTGCTGTTGTGTTGAAGTCATTCGGTTGGTGCAGCAGCATTTTAACTGTGGTCTGAACTAATTCCAAATAGCACTTGAGACTTGACAGCTAATTTGTTTTCTCTGGCACATGACACACTTGCCAGGTTTCCATCAATTGCAAAAACCAATAAATTGAGCAAATCTGAAATGACTCCAGCTAAAGGTTCTTTGGTATCTGGAAAAGTATATCCCAATACCGATACTCCTGCACAGCCTCAATCTGAAATTGACGTGGTAAGTAATAAAAACTTTGCATAGCATTGGGCGACACTTTGATTGTTTCTTGATATTTGTGCTGTACAATTCGTCACTTGGCTTGTTCCTGAACAGAATGATTTGTTTTCTTACCGCAGCAACTCTCGGCAAAATTATATTCTTCTTTGCGAATGCTTCGAACTAATCTTGTTAAAGAGGCTGCAGATGGTGTTATGGCATATCATATATTTGGGTAGGTTCTGTTTCACTTTGTTTGTAGGTTCAGTAAAGATGTTTCATTTTTTTTTTTTAAAGGAAAACTTTAGTGACTGTTATCTAAAAGTAATTACAAGAGAAAGTTGGTCAAGATTTCCAATCCTGGTTGATTAGCATATGGGAGAATACAAGGAATGTCCTGGAAAGTAGTTAAGTCTCTTAAATGTCCTGGAATATGTAGAATTGTTAGATTAATAAATATACTTTTAAGAGTTGGTCTCTTATGATCTATGTTAATACTTTTCATTTATGGAACTGGATTACGTTACATATGACATTTTTTTTTACTTGATGGCCTATAGCATTGTAAACTCTGTTTGATCTGATATAATTCTTCCTTCGTTTTGAAATAGGCTGCATCGTGGTTCTGTTAAGATTTTTTTTTTTTTTTTTTTTTTTTTGCCTTTTAGTATTGTTTATGTCCCAATTTCTTTGTGAGCTGTGCTGATTAGTTGATTACATTTCTTCCCTCGACCCAGAAATGCCACATTGCAGCAAATAAGCCGAAGAGTTCCCAGATCAAAAGAAGAATTACTTGATATCAACGGCATTGGAAAGTAAGTTTTCAGCCTTCATGTCTACAGAACTTTAATTTACTCTGTAATGCAAAACATTTGACAAAAAAATCTCCTTGATTTAGGGCTAAGGTAAGCAAGTATGGAGACCGTATTCTGGAAACCATAGAATCTACCATCAAGGAATTCTATGGGACAGAGAAAAATGGAAGCAACAGTAATGACAGTAACGATTCTGTAAAGAGACGAAGAGATGAATATAAAGATGCAGATGAATATTTTGAGGACGACAATGCCACCAAAAGCTTTGATAGATCAAAGAAGAGGGCAACAAAGACTCAGAACAAAGTTCCCAAGATTCATAATTCTTTGAAGCCAGTACATACGGATCAATTTGTTGACAGTGAACTTGATTTTGATGACAGTTACTATGAAGTTCGTGACTTGGAGGCTAAGGATAACCAGGATCATCGTGATGATGGAAGAGTGTTACCTTCATGGTCATAACACAAATTCTGGTTGGTACCTATATGCTTTCAGATGAAAACTTTATCATTTCTCACGATATTTTGAATTGTATATAACTAAATGCGCGACCGTCTTGGAGGGGACGAGGAGGGTTTTGACTTATACAAATGGTACTTCAAATTTGGAACTGGCAGTGAGAAATCAAAATGGAAACCTTTCGAACTATTTTGTTAGATCAGTCATTCAAGACTTTTGGTCGTTCAAGGAGTCGAGACTCGAGCCCTTTAAAAGACCGTAAAAGTTCAATAGGGCCTCAACAAATGTCCCCAGGATTTTGCAACCACTTCTGAGGTGATTGAGGCTAAAGTGATATTTTATATTTGACTTATAAATGCTTTATCTTTATTCATTTTTCTTACATTGATCTCAAGGATGTAAATATGATTTACAGAGAATCAATCCACCATGTCTTGTAATTTATTGAACAGGTTTTGAGTTGTTCTGGTTATAATATGCTTCAATGTATGAATGAGCTCTTTGTCCTTGGATGTGTATAGTGCTTATTTTCTTATATTTTTAGGATGGATTTTATTTTTTTCAATAAAATATTTGATTTTTAAAAATTAAACCTATAATTATTAGTTCCATCATAAATTTTTATTTTTAGGTTTTGGGTAGAAATTCAAGTGTTCTTTGTAATAGAGGTGAAAATTATAGTTGGAAAATTGAGATAAAAGAAATATTAATTTTAAAATGTCGTGATACGTCTGAGTATGATGATAAATTGATAAATATCTTTTAAAATAACACTTTCTTTGTTTTTATCATTTTAAATATCAAACTTCTTTTTCACATGATTATTTAAAATTTTAAATTGATTTGTTGAAATGAATAAAATATTATATAGACCATAAAAAATATTAAAAAAAAAAAATTTGAGAATGAATTTGATATTATCAAAAAGTTTTTTTTTTTTTTTTTTTTTTT